GCATGCCAGCAACAAAAATTCATAGTCATTGCTTTCCAAGGTTCCTGTGATAGCTGTTCAAACACCGTTTGTCTTGATGGACAACAGTGTGAGAATGGCATTTGTTCCTGTCCAAGTAACTGCATTTTCAAGTCTTGTACTCTCTCTTAAGGAATGTTTTCCCATCAGTATTGCTAAAGTTTAAATGTTTGATATTCCATTTTGCCAGAATCTGTTTCTTAAATCATTTGCTAGAGCAGTTTGGAATTACAAGTTTTTCATATATTATTTTTGACGTTTATTGATTTTCTAATAACGATTTTGAGCACATTTATTGTTGAAGTGATTACAAAGAGAACGGCAACATTCTTCTGTTTGAGATTTTTTAAATTTTGCATGATAACTGCTGAACTACTATTTTAATAGATTTAGATTCAACAACAAAAATATAGGCTTTAGCTCATCCATAGATTAAAAAAACGATGATGAAATCAATAGTTGAAAATAATTCTTTTAAAATAATCTGAAAATAAGAGTGCAGTGCTGTAATATTCACTTTCACTAGTGTTTGCATGATTTTGATTTAGCTTGCTGTTGTCATTTTGTCCGTCACCTTTTCATTCGTTTTAGAATTCTTTCATTTTGACAATTTATTGAATGCGTTGAACATTCTCGTTTATTTGATATTATACAGTGCTACTGCTTTTGTGATCATTTTAGAATACTTTGTGAATGTTGTCAAATTTTTCCTCTTCTAAGATAAAATTTTCATTTCATTTTAATTTTTTTATCGTGTAGTTCTTGCTAAAGTAATTGTTGAATTTCTTGCGAGAATAAATGGGCACCTGTTATTTGATGACTTCCTCAAAGTTTTTAAAGCAGGAAGATCAAATGCTCGCATGTCTGTTAGATTTCTGAACATGCCAATTTAACTAATGAAATTAAATGCTGTATAGTTTTTCTGAGCTTTTTTGAATTACCGTAGAGTCCGATTTAGATCTGATAAGAAGCTTTTCTTTTGCTTCATTCCCTTTCTAAAAGGGAGTCAAATTTCGAATTTCAAGGTTGAATTAGTGGAGTAATTTATTTTCAAAATATTAATTTCAGCGAAGAAACCATTACTAAACGAAGACGAAATTCGGAAGATGAAAGAAGAAGAAACTAGAAAAGTAGCAAGCGGGTCAGCACGAATACCCTTCAGTCCCGCAGATGATGAACTCGATCGTTCATTCGAGCATATTCTCAATAACAGGTTAATTGTTGAATTAAATAAAACATGAGCGCGTTCGTGTTAGAATCACTATACGTTGTATAAACTAAGAAAGTGAATGACAGATTAAATTTTCCCACTTGTATGTTTTCTTTTTTAACTCTTACCCACAGATGCATGGGCATGTAAATTTGAGAAGTTAATAAAGCTTAATTAGACTTAAGTTAATCAAGCTTAATGGCAGACAAAGCTCAATTTTTCATAGAACCGTTTGATATAAACTTTTTAATTACAAGTTATCTTTTTTTGAATCGTTTTGGCCTTCAGGTCGAGGTTAGCATCGAAGCCCTTCTGAAATTTGTAATTTTTTTTACATGAACTGTAAATTATTTTTGTAGTGCGGTACCTCGCACGATACCAGCTGTAATACGTACAAAAAAAGCCGAAAATCGCATGGCAGCATGTTCTCCATCCCCGATTCTGAGCGGTGAGCCATTAAATTCGATTGAACAACGAGCTATGGAGCATCAAAAGCGTCAGGAATGGCGACAGGCTAGGTAATTTGCTGCTTTAAAAACTATTTAACATAATTAGTTACTTATCATGTCTGTTATTAGTTTGTTATTAAGCAGCTTCTCAAATTTTTCAATCGAAGGAGAGGAGGAGAATCAATATTTGTAATATCAAAACACTGACATAATTAGCTATCATTATACTTAAAGTGGTCTTGCAGTGTAGTTTTCTTATGTTTTCAATTTTGGTTTTGCTGCAGGTTTAAATCTCTGGAAGCTGACTCAAAAGCAGCAGAAGAAGTTATGCAACAAGTTGAGCAGATTAATAGTGTAAGCTTTTTATTTGGGAAAAATTGGGATTTGAAATCCTATGCCTCTTTCTCGTTTTGTTAAGCGAATAAAATAAATACTGGCGATTTCTTGCAGAGACTGGCAAATATAACAGAAGAACACAGCAATTCTTCTTTACCGGTAAATGAGAAAATTTTACAAAATGAAACTTCATTTGAACGAAATGAGTATATCGATCCAGTCACTGGTGCTACCACTGTTTCTTTGGTTGAAAAAAGTATCACTCAGAGAGAGGTGAACTAATCGATTTTATGAAGAATTTTTTATTAGCATGATTTTAGACGAATATTTCCCGCTTTAAATTAATAGAGTATTCCTTACGGTGCTACTTTTTACTTTATTACAAAAATCAAAGTTTAGATACTTTCTACCATAAGTCTGCTGGACTTAAGTACTATGGACTATTTTTGTTAGGGCAGTTGATCTTGTTTTAATAGCTTTACAAGAAAGGAATACTTCCTTTCGCCTGCTAATCTGGGTCGTATTCTTTGAAATTAATTTTTCCACAGTAGCTCTCATTTCGCTATTTAATGGAATAATTCAATGAAATATCCATTGATTGTTTTGATTTAAAACTGAAATTAATCATTTTATTCAAAAAGCAACGGAAAGATTCATAAGAGGTCGGTTTTGCCGATTATAGAGCATAGCGGTCATACATAGATGATTTGGTTTGTTCAATTTATGTAGATCTGTCTGGATTTTCTGCTTCATAATATGACTTCATTTAATTTTGTATTCCTTTTTTTCAGATAAACACATCGACAATTATCAGTGATTTGAGTACAGAAATAGCGAATAATTCAAAACAATCCGCCGAGATAAATTTCGTCAGTCAAAACTAATGTGAAACGGCGAATTATTCCAGTTGTGCACTACAGTTCTCTATGATCCAAGGAGCTATTATTGTCTGGTTCTAATCCATTTTATGAATTTGCGGTTTTTATTGTCCGGAATCTATCAGATAACTAACTTTTTCAGCATTCATTAAGAGGTGTTTATCCAATATCCACAGCATTTTTTCAAAACTTATTCCGCCAATTTATAACGCTTCAATTAGTGTGAAAATCAGTGTGTAGAACCTGATTTTTTTTATTTTTTTATTAAAATTCATGTAGTCAGTAATAATGATGAATTCAATACAAGGTTGTTTTTGCTTTCATTCATTATATTTAAACCCTTGTTACTGTTTATGGCAGATTAAATAAGAAAACAAGCTAGCATTAGGTACATTTTATGAAGATAAATAATTTGCTAGTTAACTTCTAAGAAATAAGATTGAAAACGATCACAAGCAACTTCGTGATATTGCTTCTTTGCATTTTGTGCGATGACAAAAGCTGCGTACTTTTTACATGGTGTCAAAAATTCATGTGCAAATGCCTCACTGTGAAAGAGAAGTTATAAGTGCCTCGCCCTGGTATATTTTCTGTATAATTTGATATTTTTTGTCATTTTTATTTCTGTGGTTATATATGTGACAGTAATTCGAGTAGGAAATACTTTTTCTCATATTTTAGAAACAACAAGAATCATTAAATCTTTTTGTCGACAGATGAGACACCTTTATAATTGAATTTCTAATCTGAATTAGATTTAAACAACTCGGTAAAATGAGTCAACACTTTTGAAAAAGGTCTCTGCTGCTTAGCATCGAAAGAGCTGATATTGTGGGCTTGTCCTAAAATCGGAGCATATCGCCTAAATTACAAGGCGAAAGAAAGTATTCCCTTCTCGTAAAGCTATTATTATAGGATTAACTGCCCAAAAATACAAGAAGGAGAGATTTCTTGTATTTTTTATTCATTCTATTCGTAAGGATAGATAAATGTGGTGCCAACTGATAACTCAATTGACGAATTTTCCACTGAGTTACTCAATTTTGGAAGATTAACTTTGTTTACTTTTTTGAAGTTTAATTCAACGATTCCGTGGTTTTATATCAGTTGTCATTCCGGTTGTGAAAAACTGTCGATTTATTGGATTGTGATTATACTTCCTTGTTTTCATTGTTTACGGAGTAATCAAGTACAGTCTCGAAGTTCCACTCATTTTAATTTTATATTCTGTAAATTATGAAATGGTATTTATTATTCTGTTATTGTTATAATTATTTTTATTGCAGTGAATAAAAGAAAAAGTCATTACCTGCAAATCATCACTTGTGCTGATTTTGCATACACAGTTATATAATAGATATAGGACATTGCTAAGTTTAATTATTTCGATTTTGCTCGAACATATATGCTTTTGTAAGTATCTATATGATGGTGAAGGAATGTTGGTGCTTCTTGTATGAGGCAAGATCAAGCTTTTACACACATAATAATTTCAACTAATTGAAATTTAGTGAAAATTCATTTCAACTGCCATTACTATTCATTTAATTTGAGTAGTGAATGTGAAAAGTACAGGATTTTTTGAGATCAAAACTTTGTGTCAGCGATTTCAGGATTTGTTGAATAACTTAATAAAATTAACTTTACTGCGAATTTGTTCATTCTGCCCATAGCGGTTTATGAATTAAGCGGGAAGAGTGGAAGTATTGGGTTGATCTTAATGTTGTCTGGAAGTTCCGCTTAAAATGGATGTATGTTTCCCAACTTTACGAGAATTTGTGTGGATAAGAATCACTGAACGAAATATGTTTTTTTCTAATTCTCACTTTGAAAAAATGGATTATTTGGTGAACTATGACCGTATATATATACATATTATGCAATAATTCGGATTCAGTTTTTCAAGAGGAATGACTCCTGAGCTTTATAGAGTTTGGTGACGCTTCTATCTTCCACGCCAATTTGATTCTAATTTCAATTGGCTTATTTTGGAGACATCTTTCCGCTAATATTTTATCGCGAAGGTTTATTTCTAGTGATGATTAATAATTGAAAGAAATTGTTTATCATTTGTCTATTTTCTCATAAAACTCGTTGTTCAATCAGATAGATTGTTTACTTATTGAAAACATTCTTTCACTGCGTTAAAAAATGGTATTTTTGCTTCAATCAGTTCACGGAAGAGTTGCAGCATTCGGTAGCATATTTTTCATGTTTGTTTGGAAATGGTACAGTTTGATGAATCTCCTGATTTGTTTAAGATACATTAAAGATTTAATGATATTACAGGAATAATTATTGAGGATTTGTATGCACAGTCATCAATAAAACTCGTTGTAAACAATTGCAAGCATTGGATGTTTCAAAAATTAAGAATATCTTGAGAATTTGTCAAAATTGGCTGTTTCGACTAATGTGATCATTACTGTCTTCTCTCGGTAATTCTAATTAATTGCCATTAATATTAAACATATTTACATTTTTCAATACATTAATTGGGTAAAAAAGGTCTGACCCAACTTATATTACTTCAGTTATTCTGGAATATCTGGCAGATCGTGAAATGAATCAAAATAAGTGAAATAACAGAAACCAGGTCAGAATCTTTATCATTTGAAAAATGCAGATCTGCTAGCGTGAGCACCAATTCAAGTATCATCTTTAAATGATAAAATTATTATTGAGATATGATACTCAAATTGGTGTTCAAATTAGGCAGATTTGCATCTTTTTTCTCAATGATAAAATTAAAAGCTATTGAAGTATTAACTATAAAAATTGTGTAGGTTTATCAGTTGTCATGTCAGAGATTTCGTGATACATTGATTTAAGTTTCAACTATAGACTAAATCAGTAGTATTTTTTTCTTTTTCATCCTCTCTTCATTACACTTAACAATCATCTTTTAACATTTCAGGACTGTTCTTCTGAATTTTTTGAAAAAATATTTTTAGCAAAAAACAATATTAGGCTTTTTCAGTCTTTCATATTCTACAATTATTTGTTAATTCTATTTCGGGAATTTTCAGTTATCATTAGATATTAAAAAAATTTGAGCACATTGCTTTTGATGGAAGTCAGCTCAAAGAATTGCCACCAACCTTTTCTTTTTAGGTAAAAGCCTTTTCTTTTCTTACGACATTCTTAGTTATATAATGTTATTTGATTTGTTTGCTATTAATTTCATTTTCATATGGTTGTTTCTATAAATATCATTTTTTCTTATTATCATTAATCAATGCATGTCATTTATCGGTGAAATGCATCATTGAGAAAGAAAGCGATTTAAGAAAATGTCGATGTGATACTGTAAAAGTTTCAACTAAACCTTTCCGATTATTAGTGGAATTTTAATTTCTAAATATTTCAGATTGACAATTGTCACAACTTTAAGTTTTTAACGATAAGGCTTTCTTTCGAAATCGGTCAATTGAAAATATTGATGTTGCCGAACATAAAGATTGTAGTACACGTTAGGTTAATTCTGGCTTCTATTTCTGTGTTATTTTTATCTTATTTATCTCAATTGAAATCATTTTATGTTGCATGAATAATTTTTTTTCAATTATTTTTTAAAGAAAATTTTAATCTACGTCTAGAGGGAACCATTGCGCAAAATCCAGCAGCTCATATCAAAATTTTTATTTATTATTTGCTACGGTTTGTTTCTTCACAGCTTTTTAATCCGAAATGTGAATTTCACTCATAATGAAACATTTTTAGAGAAAACATGTCTTATTAAATTCTTGAGAGTTAAATTTTACCATTGCAAAGGCGGTTATCATATTTCTCTATAATTTCTATGAGAAAATTAAGAGGTTTATCTAAAATATAGAAAAGAATGGAATGAAAAAATATTTTTAAATTAGCGATCATTAAATCGTTGTTTTTTTAGTGCAACGGAATCTTCATAATGGAAAAAAAGATTTTTTTACAGATAAAAAATATTTCCAGCAAATCATTTGCGTTACTGTCGGCTACATAAACTGTTAGATTATTTTAAATTAAAATTGAATGATGACAAAAAGTTGTGCATATTTGATTTCTTTACTGAAATATCACGTCAAAAAATGCTGTTTAATTTCATACCTTTCACATTAATTCATCTCAGATTTGTGTTAAAATCATCTATCCATTTCAAATATGCTTTATTCATCACTCTTAAGTGCCATTGAATATTTCTCAACAGGTGAATTACTCAATAGGTGCTTAATTTTCAGCGTATGGTAAAAAATCATTTCTATGCATGAATAAGAGATGATCTAATTTATGACATTTATTAACAATTCAAATGATATATGTGTTGGATTAACTTTTGAAATTATTTTGAGCAGTCCGTGTTTGCTGATGATTTTAAATTCATACATTCAAGAAAATGAGAAATATTCGTTTGGTTAATGTAATTTGTGTCACCGTATGTTGCCATATATTCATCACATTGTTGGATGGATGGATGAATGGGATGAGCGTTAATGTAGTAATTTTTGGTTTATTACTGGATTGATGCAGCAATCATGCAGCGATAGCCCAGCTGTTCATGCGCATTTGACTCATTTCCTCATTGCTGGAACTATCTTTTAGCGCACTATCACCTTTACCGCACCAATTCTATGTTAATTGTTGTCATTCGGCTGTTAGCTATCATTAAAACAATGAAATAAATATTTCTCTCTTCATCCTTTTAATGCAAAATGCGACCTCCTTACGTTATTGGCTATCATTACAGAGCATTTAGTTTTTACGCCTATCGACTTCAATAGCTATCTCAAATTTTTGATCAATATATTCTGAATAAAGGAAAGAAGAAAAAATGGAAAATGAAAGTGACAAAGAAGATGTTATTTTTCCTAACAGAGACATTAATTATTAAGCTTAATGATGAGATATGAAGCCAGCAGTAGGCCTAGTAATGTTATTCTAAACCAGAATACGGGTGTCTTTGCATGACATCGTCTCTTCTTCAAGAATCGCTTTTAAATAATTTATTAAGATCCTTCATTTTTACA